CGGGAGCCGTTGTTAATGTAATTCGGGGGGCCAGGGGCCCACTTTGAGCACAAAGACTTTCCCAGTCAAAAAACACGGCGCGAGCGTCGAGGGGTACTCTGTGATTGAGAAAAACAGTATGCACTAATGAGGGGGATTAACCATAATTATTTTTCGGAAATGAGAACTCAACAGAAACAACAACAACAACAACAACAACAACAACAACAACAACAACAACAACAATCATTTAAGACTGGGGACACTCCGTTCTCACCAGTGCCAGGGTTTTCATAGGAGGCGGGCAATACCCCCACTTTGTGGGGGGGCCGGTTCAAGCTCTACCAAATTTCCAAACGACTCTTCGCCACCACCCACACCCAGCTTCCCGCCCTATGACGTTCGGACACTTCACTTCGTGGCATGCGGACGACCGTGGCTACTATTCAGGGCCCCGCGGCCGACGACGACGGCGTGCGCGCGCGAAGAAAAAACGAATGTGTCCAATATGGTATTATTTGACAGGGATGATGGCCCTGGCATGCGCGCAACCGTTGTTGCAGAAGTTCGAAGCACGTGAAAAAGTTGCTCGCAAGAGCCCGTTTGACAGAAATGTTGAAAAAATATTGGGTTTCCTCAGAAATCCGCAAGAACGCGCAAGATGAATGTTTGAAACTTTTTTTTTTTTTAACCATTGGGTTTTTCATGTTTTTTATGTTAAAATCGCTACGAAAACTAAGGTTTTGGAAGGATTTCATCTTGCGCGCGCGAGTGTGCACTTCGTGTCATTTTTTGTCAAAGGATTCTTGAAGTTTGGTTATGTTAGAACAAAAAAAATCATTTTATAGCGTTTTTTGCAAGGGAAAGCGGGCGTCAACAAAACAACCAGATCCGGACACCCACGTTTTGCCTGAGACTTCCTCACGAAAATGATGAAAATGTGGCTGCGGCCTAGGCGCGGCGAGGGGGGCGCGCACCAGGGGTCCCAACAATAATTATTCTTTAGAATAAATAATGTTCAACAACAACAACAACAACAACAACAACAACAACAACAACAACAACAGCAGCAGCAGCAGCAGCAACAACAACAACAACAATCAGACTCAGACTTTTCGCTCTTATCTGCTCGAGTGCCATTCACTGTGCATATCCCAAACCCTGGATCCCCGCCGTCTTCGTCTTCGATATTACCCCACTTGGGGGTAGATGTTTCTTACCTGCAGGCCGGGCTCTTGCAAACGGCGGTATATTCATTCCCTGCCACGTGTGGTTGGTGAAGCCCTTGAAAACGAACGGTAACAGATAACGGGGAGAATGAAGACGAGAAGCGTTGATTCTGCTTGAACCGCCAGGCAATATGTAGCGGGAGCGCGATTCCTAAGTGTCGAGGAGCGGCATCTGAATAAATTGTGAAGAAGTATCAAGCGGGAGCCGCGATTCGGTGGTAAGTTGCGAAGAAGTCCCAAGCGAGAGCGCGGTTCTTCAATAAATTGTGAGGAAGTATCAAGCGGGAGCCGCGATCCTGTGGTAAATTGCAAGGAAGTCCAAAGCGAGAGCGCGATTGTCAATAAATCGCAAGGAAATATCAGGCGGGAGCCGCTGTTGTTGTAAACCGGGGGCCGACAACACAATTTGACCCTCAAGACTTCCCCTGATAAAAAATAGGGTGCGAGCCCCGGGAAGAGCACTTCAATCGAAAAAAAAATGTGCACCGGACGGGGTGATCAACAACAACTATTCTTCAGGAGTGGGAGTTCAAAAACAACAACAACAACAACAACAACAACAACAACAACAGCAACAGCAACAGCAACAGCAACAGCAACAACAACAGCAACAGCAACAGCAACAGCAATAGTAACAACAACCATAACAATAAAAACAACAACAACAACAACAACAACAACAACAACAACAACAACAACAACAACAACAACAACAATTACAACAACAACAACAACAACAACAACGACAACAGCAACAACAACAACAACAACAACAACAATCATCTTAAGACTGATCGCTCTTATATGCGCGCGCGTCACTCAATATGTAAATCCCAAACCCTCGATACCCACCCTCTTCGTCTTCGGTCATACCCCTTTGGGGGTATATCTTTTTTACTCGCCACGTGTAGTTGGCGCAGCCCCTAAAACAGGAAGAGCAGGGGGAAGGAGGAAGGGAGAGCGAGGAGGAAAAGAGTGGGGGGAGGGAGGGAGGAGGGAAGGGGCAAGGGGGGGAGGATGGATGGAGGACGAAAGAGGTTAGCAGGAGGGGAGGGGGGCAAAAGAGGAGGTAAACAAACGGACGAACCAGACAGACGGGTCGAGCGGCGGACTCTGAGGGGCGGGTCGGGCTGGCGGTGTGAACTGAACCCATGTGAGGTGAGCTCAGCACGCTACCATGCGAGCCACCGTGTTTGGTGTCCTGGGGCCCCTTGGGCGTGTCTTGGGGCTTCCTGGGGGCCTCTTGAGGTCTTGAGGCCTCTTGGGGTCTTCTTGGGTGCCTCGAGGTGCCT